TCAGATATGGTTAATTTAATGTAAGAAAATTTATTAGATCAGAAAAATTTAATGTATTTCTTTCAATTATATTATTTAATATTCTTGATTGAAATATTATATTTATTAGGATTCAGAATATATTTTGAATAAATTTGATGCTTATGATGAACTTACGATAGATTTGCGTATATATGAACTTTTGAAATACTTGAAACAAGTAATATTTACTTGTATATAGTATGTATTTTTCTGTGTGTACATATGAGGGGTGATTTCACCCTTAGAATCATTTTTGGGCAACTTTTTCCGCAACTGGAAATTTCTAAATTCATTTATTTACCCCATCCCCTACATGTGTGTAAAATTTCATCAAAATCAAAATTTTCGGTTTTACGAGGTTTGCTTGTTAGTCTTTGATTCTCTATTGCCAAAACGGCTTGGACACGGGTTTATTGGCAAAATTGGCTTGTTTTGGTGTCCTTTATAACCACCTGAAGTTTGTCGGTCTAATTCTAAGACACCCTATATATATATATGCTAGTACTTTGGAAGGATCAGTTTGACGGCTCTCCATCATATCGTGCTGAAAGGCGCTAAACATCACATACCAATTGATAATGTCAGAAGTATACTCGCGCCATTTACCAGATTATTAAAGCACTTTATTCTTATCGTATCTGAGAGATAATATCGTCGTTTCTGTAGCGACTCGATACGATGATAAGCGTGGTGTAAAGTAAATCCGAATGATGATTAAACGCCGTAGGATCTTTCATTCGTCATTAAATATTTTCGCGGAACTATTTCAACGTGACACGTGGACGATCAAGAAATTAATAGAAATTAATCTGCTCGTCGGTCTATTTGGCACGCTATCCTTTCGAATAGGACAATTGCGAAGATTCGAAATTCGAATTTTTTGCGAACCTGTTTTCGCGTTATGCATTGCGAATATAGTCGACACAACCGTGGACGTTTTTACGAATACGTTACACGATCAATGAAATGCCACGCTATTTTTATGATACGATGACTCGCGATGTCGATAGCCGACGGTATATCGTCTTATATAGGGAAAACTCTCTCGCGGCTTTTATTCTGTACGCGGATTTTTATTCGTTCTCCGCAGGTGATATAACGGCGTTATGTGCACGAATTATGCGCTTTGCCACTGGATCGATGAAAGGTCGCGGTATATTTATGACACGCAGATAGTCGTAATCGCGAACGCGTGTATCGATAAACTCCCCATTCTTTCTATATACGTATCAACCATGACAATTCCGCGTGCGCAGATTAAAACGTGGAACTTGAGATGCGATGAATGAATAAGAATCTATTATCTGTGAGGGTGTCTACTCCCTGCAAAAACGTGGAAAACCTGGAATACTCACATGAGTGATTTCTTTTACACTCCGAAAAATCAGGGATTTTTTTAAATAATAAGCCATGTATCTCATATACTATTGGACCAAATTTTAAAGCGCACAGTCCTTTATACAACGTATTCGTGATGATATGGAGTCTTTTACGGATAATTTCTAGAATACACATTCTCTTTGTGAGTTATCGCTCTGTGCATCGCCAAAAGAACGGCGCTTGTTTTTACGCAACGAGATTGCATCGTCTCTCTCGCATCAACATATGATTCTTGGGAAATCCAGTGTTAAATGATGTCGATATTCCTGGAGTATTAAATGATATTAGTGATTCCCGATGCAGATAATAAGTTCTTATTTATTTATTTTTTTATTTTCTTAAGGGGTTTTCCTAGTTTGACGCTCTGAAAATAAAGGCGATTTTTGGGAATTTTTTTAAAGAAAAGTATAAAACTTATCAATTCTAAACTTTGCACGTTTATTAAATAACATTTCAAATATATTCTGAATTTTTTTCAAATAAAAATATTTGTTTCGGAGTTATAGCAGTCCAACCGGGATATCTAATAAAAAAATGGCGAACATGATTCCAGCCGTTATAATCATCTGAAATAATAAAACCAGAAAAATTCTTAATCTGTATGAGTGTGATTATCTTGTGAACTAGAATTAAATCGATATTTGCAAAATTCAAATTTTGCGACTTACAAAACTAACCAATTTTTTGGTGAAAAATAAAAATTTTTTTTTGAGACTGCCATTTTTTTATTTTTCAATATTTTTTATTTTTTTATTCTAGTTCACGCGATAACCACACTCATACAGATTAAGAATCTTTTTGGTTTTTTTATTTCAGATGATTATAACGGTTGGAATCATGGTCGCCACGAACAACAATTTTTTTTTTAAACACCCTGGTTAAATTGCTATATCTCCAAAACAAACAAATATTTTTGTTTGAAAAAAATTCAGGATATACTTAAAATGTTATTTAATAAACGTGCAAAGTTTAGAATTAATATGTTTCATACTTCCCTTTAAAAAAAAATTCTCAAAAATC